GTTGCACTTCTCGATCAGATTCAGTGCTGCAGGCAGTCGCAGACTCAGAGTTCTCGTTCTGTAGCATTGATGGGCAAATTTGTTTGCTTTATTTATGCACATGATAGCAAATAAACTACTTCTTTTTGACACTCATCTTCTTCCTTTTGACAGGATCTGGCTCATTGGCCTCCTCTGTCTCCTTGGTATTCTTGCTGGAAACCAAGCTGTTCTCCTTATTCGTCTCGCTACTCGTCTGTCTGTTGCTGGTTGTCTCATTCGTATGGCTATTAGCTTCCTCGTCCTTCTTGTGGTAGAGACAGCTCTTCAGGTCAACTGTAACCAGCTTTCCTGCCTCATTTATGTACGACATCGTCCGCTTTGCCTGCTTTGGCATCCCATTCACGATGTTGCTGATAGCCTTGTCTTTTTCAACCATTTCGGCATCAGAATCAAATGTCTTGAATCGGTCTGTGCTCATCTGCGTGTAGTAGAAGTAGACAGAATGGATTCTGAATATCTCTTCTGGTCGTAGTCGATGTGTGGATGACTCACCTGTGTGTTTATGCACAATAAGCTTATTCTGGTCCATTTCAAGAGTGAGACGAAGATCCTCCAGAAACGGCAAGTTTATTTGGATGTCACACGTCTCATCTGCGCCAATCTCAATCTTAGAATGCGCCACCAAGTACGTCTTGATGCTCTTAAATGCCGGATCGAATATCTTAAGGATACGCTTGAAGGAAGTTGTCATTACTGGGAAAAAATTGCCGAAAATATTTATTGGCTCATTCTTCAGCCAGCCTTGCTGCAACTCTCTCCTTCCTCTCTGCTAGTGAAATCTTCTTCTTGTTCTCGTACTTCTTGCCACTGTATTCCGCCTTCTTCTTCTCCACCTTTGCTCCTTCTGCTCCAATCTTCTTCAATGCATTCTTATAAATGGCCTCGATGGATCCTGGCTCAATCTTCTTTGCCACGTATCCACCAAACTGCAACTTGTACTTCTCCTCGTCGTTCTCCTTCAGGTGCTCCATGTACGAACAGTTCTCCTTCATAAAAATTCTGTTTGCCAATTCCTCAGCCTGTAGGTCTTCTCCATCCCACCCTACAAATTTAGAAGGCGAATGAGGGATAAAGAGCCCTGAATCGGATGCACCCTTCATCGCAATGAAAACTTTTGCACCCTTCGTGGCCCTGGCCAGCCCGATATCCTGAAACACCTTGTAGGCGCGTCTCTCTTCAATTGGACTCTCAGTCTCCTCGAATGCGCCTACGTCTGTTTTAGTCACAAACTGTTTATCCAGGTCATTGGCTGCAAGAGCCCTTCTTCCACATAGCATTCCTGTTGCATAGGCTGCAAAATAGTTAGTTAGGCCAAAGGTGACACCAAAGTTCTTCAACTCAGTCGAATCAGCCTGTGCTACAACACGATCTC